TGCCCCCGCGCCCCGAGAATCCCAATACTCGGGCGGTCGTGTTTCCCGCTCCACGGTGACTGTGACGTCCTGTCGAATGCGGAGGGCTCGTTCTGAACCGTCGTCACTGGGCTCGCGATCATCAACCTGTTCCGTGCTGACATCCGACACAGCCTTGCTGGGAGCCACAACAGTGCTCTGGTTATAGGTGCGCATGCTGAAGTCTCCGGAGCGCAGCTGACTGTGAGGCCCGTAGTGTTGGTACGCAGAGCCTTTCGGCGCGTATGGACCTGTTCGATAGCGGTCCGTCCCTCGGTGGGACCCTCCAGTCCAGCTCTTGAGGGCAGGGAACACATCACGGAGGAGAGACCACACCAATGGTAGGTTGGTGACCAGAATGGCGACGGTTGCTTCACGAAAATACCAGTTCATGTAAACGTAAGAAATGAGCGATGGTACCAAACAATAGAGTTTGTTCAGGAGGGCCGCGACGATGACAAAGATACCCATGCCAAATAAGAGCATGAGGATCAGCTTTTGCTTCAAAGGGACGCGCACTTGGACCAAGAGGGGGATCCCAATGAGAAGCATAAACACATCCGCGGAGATGGAGATAACGCCCTGTACAATCTCATAATACTGATATGTCGAACATTGCTCTATCGCGGAGTCAGCAAGAGGCGTACAAGCTATCTTTGCAGAAGATGACTTGCCGTAAGGAGTCGGCACAGCCCAGTAGTTGTGGATAGGCCGACAGATGAGGAATAGGGACAGTTCGGTTGCCACGAATCCAAGGGCAACATATATGGAGAGGTAATTGACCCATTTTCTTTGGCGCAGTCCCTCCCTATTTCAGTCTCAAGAGTTAGCATCCAGCATAGTCACAAGTCATTGATGATCGTACGTGATGCGAGCATAAATCACCAGCATGCAGGCCTTCATTGCCCAGATGGCAAGGAGGAAGCAGTGCTCCGACACAAAAACCCATTTACTTCCGCGGATGCGATCAGCTTTGATGGTGGGGGTTAATGATTTGATGTCATCTTCGCTCATCAGATTGGAACCCCCGCCTGAGGCGACCTGATTGAGAGCAACACAAAGAAGCGTGTACCAGACGACAGCGAACATCATCAGATAATCGTCCGTCTGGAGATTGGTGACCCCCAACCGACGTATTCGTGCAATGCTACACTCCACCAAGAGGCCATGGTCAGCACTGCACTTAAAGACGAAGACAAGATATGTCTTCCAAGATGCAAACAAGTAAAAGGCTACTACTCACAATCTCAGTACCGCACCCAGCACCCCGACACCATAGAGCGTCCATGTCTCTCGCGCAAAATTGCGTGCGAAAGCGGGGCTTAGACTGGACATCGTGCTGGAGTGCAACCTGGAGAGCCACGAGGTGACCGGTCAATCGAGATCCTTTCCTGCAAGGGACCAACACCGGACAAGGCTCAGGGTAATATAAGTTAGTTGGACTCACATCTTTGCTAAGATAAGGTTGGCTACCGGCACGCCGGCCAGGGGAGAAAGACGTCCACACTTGGTCAAGCAATCAAAACGGCGAACCAGGATGTATGATCCCGGCTAGCTTGATGACTGCGTGCGTAGAGAGATCATGGACTGAGAAGATAATAACCAAGGGGAAGAAGTGTGGGCGAACGACAGGCATGATCTTCAGGCTAAGCCGGTTCAATCAGCCGGGGGTCGGTGACTGAATGACCAGCGAAATGTATGCAAGGGTGAGCCATGGGTACATTTTCAGGTACAGACACCGCACCGCGGTTGGCTGCTTACTTTACCAGCTTCATCGTCATCGGAGCTACGAAGAATCCGTGATCCAGAGTAGACTTGTAAGTAACTTGCTAAGCCTACCTGGAACATGTATGGGGAGACCGGGAGAGGGGCCACTTTGAGCGGAAAAGATCAGCCATCACTCCACCGACTGCACCTACGTCCCACCAGCAATGCAGCTTTGCAGATGCACACGTATGTGTACAAATTGTACTCAGTCAATGGATGGACCGCACTTTCTTTGACTTTGGGGAGGCGGGTCCCTTAATGCCGGCTAGTTGCAACTTAATTTGTATTCCAATCTCCACTTGGTCGGAAGCCATTTGAATCAATTCATGCACCACCAGCTGGGCTTGGTCGAAGTCGAACTCTCTTCGCTGGAGCCAGATTCTCCCATTTTGGGTCTTATATGCGAAAGATCTGGCATAAAGTTAGTCCTAGACCAGAGCCCTTAAGCACCAGCCGGCGAAAAACTTAGCATTATCGCACTTTGCTGTCGGGAAGAATCGTCTCCAGCTGGCAGGGGGATTTGCACTTATGTGGCGCAATGCCTCAGGCCAAGTCGATCCTTCACTCAAGCGAAGTATCCCTAATATGGCCACTCAGCCAGTGGAGACCTTTCTCCTCGAGCCCTTGAAAATCTAAGGTGAAGGCCAGTTGATTAATTCCAAGCCCAGCAGCGTCTGGCGCAATATAGGGGGGAAGGGAATTATCTCCCGAGACAATCTACGGAAATGGGGCGTGGCTTTCACCGTTCATTACTATGAAGACTAAGGTGCACCCTTGCTGCATGTGCGTAAGTACCGGTATGCCCTTAAGCGACATCACTGTTGAAGGTGGAGCTCCTCGCTCTGCTTCCCAAGGGTGCATGTAACATTGTAGAACTAGTCAATACCTTTTTTTACCAAAAACCTAATCAAGCTGGAGCCAGTTCAATCAGTTCATCCGATTCGAAGACTCCCCACCTGATCGGACTCCGATGCCTCGAATCGAAAGTAGGCAATTGGGGAAGGGTTCATTATTACGATCGTTGGGTAGTCGGAACGTACTCTGCAGATCCGCAAGTGACTTCAGTGCTTGCACCTCGTGTGTGCTGAATCAGTCGGAGATGGCAAAAACGAGGAAATTTTCTCTCGCCTACTGAAGTGAACTAGCAGGGATGTATGACGGTCCGGAAATAGTCTACACCTGCACGTTTAGCTTCGAGAATCCGCCGCTAAGCTCGTGCCATCTCGATCTTGACTCCTCGTTGGTGGGCTGGAGAACGAATGCCCATTGAACTTGTTTCACCAATCCACGGCCTGGAAGCATAATGGTCCGTGTTCTGGAACAGGAGGTTTGTTCGTTGGTCTCCGTGCTCATTTGCTAGAACACACGGGGGAATATGGCGGCCACACGCTCGAGCCGTGTCTGCCTTGAAGTGCTCGTTTGCGTCTCTTGTTTGTATCTTTCTGGAAATCTTGCAAAATGTCAAGAGTGATAGAATATAAAGGCTTCTCAAGTAAGGCATGCGACACCCGTGGTGCCATTGGGGCCTACTTGTCGGCCCAAGGGTGAGATTTTGCCGCTAGAACCCGGCCTTGCAGGGATTAGAAATGGGGCAGGTATTTGGAAAAGAAACACTAGTCGAATCCATCGTTCGAGGACTCAGAAGTCTCGAAGTGAGTGGAGCAGGCAGTAAGTGATGGCATTACTGTACGGAGTAAATACTTTGTATCAGCATACCAATTTTCTCTCCTTTCAGAAGGCTGAGTCAATTGCTCAATTGAACACTGTTGCTCGGGAGCTAGGTATTGGAGGGGTGCAGGTAGACTCAACAGGACCTTGAATCCAGGAATCCGGCACTAGGTGATACACAGGCATTAGTCCGTGTCTATATCTTAGGAAGATGGATGGAGAGAGGATATTCGGCTCTGACTTATCAGTGAATAATGGGGATTGATAATAGAAGGCTGAAGGACGGTCGGAAATACGGAGTAAGGATAACCAAGTACTAGGTAATCAATCGGCCTCGGCTCTGGGAAAACCCCGGCTTCTTGGCATCCGATGGCGGTGGCTGCCCATTTGGTAAGGCATCAGTAGCTAATGTGTAAGTGTAGAGTACGTAGCTGTATGCTAGTGCAATTCATTCATGATTTCGGTTTGATGTAGGAGACTCATGCTTGCTACCAAAGTGCTGAGGCTCTTCAAAAATGATAAGCCGAAGAAAGTATACATACATCGGTGCGTGCTTCGCTGCCTCTAGGCTCGACTTCTCTTTCTTTCTTTCTCTCTCTCTCTCTCTCTCAACACGTCCCACACATGACCCAGTTTATCTCTACCTCCAACAATCTCTTATCAGCGCAAGATCAATGTCGGGCAGGCTGTCTGTACCCGAGTCGTCCATTCTGTCCTGCGAGGTACTACGTAGGTAGGTCCATCCAGCACGTTGAAGGTCGTTAGCTTCCCCAGCTTCCCCGGATTGAGGAATGAGGAATGGGTTCTGATGAGTCAATAGACCCCATATGTGGAGCAAAACAAGCATGTAAAGATTTGGAACACCATGCAGACCAAGCCCCTGTCCGTCTAGTTCCGATGATGGACAGGGAGGACACATACCTAAAACCAACCTCGCAAGATGAAGGCAGAAGGGAAAAGTGGGCAAAGACTCCCAGAGAGTGTACCTAGTACTCCATGGAGGCTATCTGCTGAAGCTCCCCCTTTGGGCCTAGTCGTTCTTCACGCCTTTCCTGCTTCTCCGCCAATCGGAGCCTTACATCAGCCAGAATGTCCCGTGATTGGGCGATAACGGCCCTTCCCACGCTATGTGGGCCCCACCAGCTCTGATCATTTGGAGTATACGGAGGGAGTACTTGGTACCGTCCTCTAGGTACATCTCACATTCATTCCTCCCTCTCTCGCCTCTATAAACTCTTGTTCTCGCCCACAGTGCTCTCTGGCCCTTCTCCTTGTGTCATTGTGCTCTCTTATCGCTACATCACTCGGGAGAAGAAGCAACCGATCGTTTTCAACCTGTGATTATTCGGCCAGCCCTGACCTCGACCATCCCATCATTTGTCAATCACACAGAGGCCACACAGATTAGTGACTTGTTACAAGAGCCTTCGTAGTACTTCCACAGCAGCTGCCGCCCTATCGAGGATCCTGACCAACCTTTGCTCCCATTCGTCGTTGTTCCACCTTCCTCGAGCCATATTATTATCCCCGCCGACTCCGACCCCGAGATGACGACAGAGAAGGTAGCAGAGAAGTCCGACCCTATCGATGGAGGGGAGGATGCATCATCTGTGGAGGTATTCAATGCTTCGGGTCACCGTCAGGAAGTCGACCGCAATTTCAGTCTGTTGAGTATCTGTGCCGTTGCCGTCACGACCGGAAACACATGGATTGCCCAGGGTGGCAGCGTGGTATGCTACGATTAGTCTTCTGTCAGAGCTAGGAGATTGGACTGACGGTATCCAGACAACGGCCTTGAGCAATGGAGGCCCGTCAGGTGTCATATATGAATTGTACGGCCCTTGTCTTCCATCCGGCACGGATAAAGAGTGCTAACATGATCCTAGTATCGCCGTGTCTGTATGCTACTGGCTAGTTGCAGCCTCGATTGCAGAACTGGCATCTGGAATGCCATCTGCCAGTGGAGGTAGGTAGATCTTGACTCTTCTGAGATATCCTTCGCTCTAACGTCTACGCCAGTTTACCACTGGGCTACCATCACTGCGGGCAGATACGGACGGGTGTGCGGGTTTTTTGCCGGATTCTGGAACTCGCTGGCATGGATCCTGGGCGCAGCCTCGATGTCAGCTATCCTCGGACAGCAAACAGTGTCGATGTACGCCCTCATGCATCCTGGCTTTGTGCCTCAGTCCTGGCATATCTTCGTGAGCTTCATCATCTGCACCTGGATGTGCTGTTGTATTGTCCTCTTCATGAACCGGTGGCTTCCTCACATCGGCAATCTCGGCCTGTTCTTCATCCTTGCCGGTGTATTCACCACCATCGTTGTCTGTGCCGTGATGCCTCACATCAATGGCACCGGCTACGCAGCCAGCAAGGAGGTTTGGAGCTCCTGGCAAAATGACACAGGCTACTCCAGCCAAGGCTTTGTCTTCGTAGCTGGCATGCTCAACGGCGCGTACAGTGTTGGCACACCGGACTGCTCATCTCACCTCGCCGAGGAGATTCCCCAGTAAGCCGTGCCTAGTTCTTCCCTCCATGCAACAGTCCCAACCCTAACCCCAACTGCCAGACCAAGCCGCAACATCCCGAAAGCCGTCCTCGCGCAAATGACCGTCGGCTTTCTCACCGGCATCGTTTACATGATCGCGCTCTTCTACAGCATTACCGACCTCTCCGCCGTACTCAACAGCGTCTACGGCTTCCCACTGGCCGAGATCTACTACCAAGCAACCGGCACCCGCGGTGGGGCGCTTGGCCTCTTGATCGTCGCCTTCTTACCAACGGTCATCACTTGCGCAGGGTGCTATATCACGGCCGGACGCACCCTCTGGACCATCTCCCGCGACCAAGCGACGCCCTTCCACAGTTGGCTCGGCCACATTAACACGCGCATGCACAATCCCTTCAACGCGACCCTCGTCTGCGGCGGTATGGTCACCATTCTGGCGTGCATCTACGTCGGCTCCACGACCGCCTTCAACGCCTTCGTCGGCTGCTTCGTCCAGCTCTCCAGCCTCTCTTACTTCGCCGCCATCTTCCCGCACCTGCTCACCCGCCGCGCCTCCTTCGCCCCCGGCCATTTCTGGATGCCCGGCCTGCTCGGGTACGTCGTCAATGCCCTGAGCTGCGTCTACATTCTCGCCTTCGTCGTCATCTTCTGCTTCCCGTACGCTTTGCCCACCGACGCGCAGACTATGAACTACGCCAGCCTGATGACCGGCGGACTGACCCTGTTTGTGACCGCGTGGTGGCTCGTCAAGCAGAAGGATTACAATGGGCCCAAGGAGGTGCCCGTCTCTGACAAGGTGGTCGTCGAAGGAGTTGTGGACTTGTAGTCCCCTTGGCTCCTCCGTCCCCTTTATGATTCAAGATAAGATGAGTTAATCGCTCTCGAATGGTATATAGCTTGCTTCATGGTATTAGTCTTCATGTACATAGGGTTCTTCCTGTGCTGTTTTCTTCTTTGCGTGTGATTGCTCGTCTGGGAATTGATTTGATCGGAGTTCATGGATTATGTATGTCTGGGTTTTTGGAATGTATATATGCACATACACGGATGTATAAATAGGATATATCACTATCGAGATATCTAAATTTGGGCTGTGGGTGCCTATCAGATATCTATGATGTAAAGCAGAAATTAGCACATAGTATGACTGACTGTACGGTCTAGTTTTACAGTGAGAGGAAAGTAGTCTGCGTAGTCTGTTGGGTTCCAAGCGCCACTTTTGCAGTTGGTGTACAAAGCATTAGGCATTTGGCGGTGATGGCGTCTGCCGGCAGAATTAGGGTGTAGCTAGTCCTAAATAGGAAGACGAACTCCACCTCTGGGCAGGCTGGTGGAGGTGGAGTACGCAGAATACTTTCCAGGGACCGTACTCAATAGGAGGGATATTATATACAAAAAGGGGAAGATAAAGCCCGGATTTGTACAATCATAATAATGTATGTAAGTTACTCGAACATGCTTATGTAAGACAAGCTGGCCTTCACAATACATCAAAGAAACTGTCCCGAGCGACGGAAAAGAAAAGAAAAAGAATAAAGAAATCATATCTCATAATATCATGAAAAGAGAAAGCCAGAAGTAGATCAATGAGAGCCAAAACACTTCGTCACTTTTTTATCGCTTCGCCTTTCATCATCAACTGCAAGCTTCTTACTCATACAGATCCATGTCGCCACTGCCATCTTCCATCTCAGCTAATGCATCCTCATCACTGTCAACCATGTCTTGATCTCCGTCATTGTCGGGTCCATGGTTGGGGAGGACGTCGATGCGACCTTCGCGCATAACCACGCGAGCTACTTCACCGTCGCGAATGCTACCGCGGAGAATGAGAACAGCGAGGCGGTTGAGGACCTCGCGCTCAATGATACGGCCCAGAGGACGAGCACCATAAGCAGGCGAGTAGCCGGAATCGCCGAGATAGTCCTTGACTTCTTCAGTGCATTCGATAGTCACGTTGCGCATGTTGTCAGTAAGGCGCTTCTGGACCTCGCCGAGACGGAGGTCAACGATCTTGCGAATCTCGCGTCTGGTGAGACGGTTGAAGATGACGATGCTTGAGATACGGTTGAGGAATTCAGGCAAGAAGTAGTCGCGGAGGGCACCCATGACCAGCTCGCGCGTGGCGAGTTCGATGCGGCCGTCCTTGGCGGCAGGGCGAGCGAGGAACTCGGCTCCAAGGTTGGAGGTCATCACCACAATGCAGTTCTTCGCGTCGACGATTCTGCCCTGTCCGTCGGTGATACGGCCGTCGTCCATGAGCTGCAGGAGGACAGTCAGAACCTCCTTGGCAGCCTTCTCGACTTCATCAAACAATAGAATGGAGAAAGGCCGGCGACGGAGGCTTTCGGTAAGCTGACCGCCAGCGTCGTGGCCGACATAGCCGGGGGGCGCTCCAATCATGCGGCTCAGGGAGTGCCGTTCTTGGTATTCGGACATGTCGAACCGGATCATGGCCTTAGGATCATCGAATAGGAATTCCGCCAAGGCCTTTGTGAGAAGCGTCTTACCCGTTCCCGAAGGACCACAGAAGAGAAAACTGGGCGGCGAGTTAGGGTTACTCAGACCGGATCGTTGCAGGCGGATAGCGTTGGAGACCGATTGCACGGCCTCCTTCTGACCGACGACCACCTTGCCAAGATGTTTCTCCATGTTTAACAACTTGTCCTTTTCGGTAGTCTTGAGACGAGTGACGGGGATACCGGTCCAGCGGGCCACAATCTCGTTGATTTGGTCGGGGCCGACGGCATCTGCCAGCAGAGCCTCGCCCGCATCACCCTGGCGAGAGCGTCGTTCCTCGTCGGCCTTAGCGCGGTCGATTTCCAGTCGTTCAATGAGTTGCTTAGTCTCGGGAATGGCATAGTACTCCAAATCGGCGGCGGTCTGGGTGTCACCGGAGCGCTCGGCCTCGTCACGCTTGACCTTAAGGGAGTCAAGCTTCATCTTAGCTTCTTGGATAGCCTTGCTGCGCTGCTTCTCGCTTTCGTACTTTTCCCGCAGAGGACGGAGCTCTTCTGCGACATTAGCAGCCTCCTGCTTTGCCACATCGAGGCGAGCCTTGGAGGCATCGTCTTTCTCGCGCTCGAGAGCGTGGATTTCGATCTGTAGCTGACGGAGTCTTCTTTCAAGGTTATCAAGGGCTTCGGGCTCGGATTCACGGGTGACCCGAACAGCAGCGGCAGCCTCGTCGATCAGATCGACAGCCGAATCGGGAAGACGACGAGCTGTGAGATAACGAGCGGCAAGTTCGGCTGCAGAAACAATGGCGCCATCAAGAATGTTGACACCGTGGTGTACTTCGTACTTCTCTTTCAAGCCACGCAAAATCGAGATGGTTTCGGAAACCGTGGGCTCCTTGACCAGGACCTGCTGGAACCGACGTTCGAAGGCCTGGTCCTTCTCAATGTACTTTCGGTATTCACCCAATGTGGTAGCACCGATACAGTGCAGCTGACCACGAGCCAGCATAGGCTTAAGCAAATTGGCAGCGTCCATGCCACCTTCACCACTGGAGCCTGCACCCATGAGGAGATGGATCTCGTCGACGAACAAGACGATAGTGTCCTTGGATTCTTCGATTTCCTTCAAAACGCCCTTCATGCGCTCCTCGAACTCACCACGGTACTTACTGCCGGCAACGAGAGAACCGACATCAAGGGAGAGCAGGCGGCACTGGGCCAAGTTGGCAGGAACATCGGCATTGACGATCCGACGCGCCAGGCCTTCCACGATGGTGGTCTTACCAACACCAGGCTCACCGATGAGCACCGGGTTGTTCTTCGTGCGCCGACTGAGGATGCGGATGACACGTCTGATCTCTTCCTCTCGGCCAATAACGGGATCGATCTTTCCTTCTCGAGCCAGCGAGGTCATATCGATGGTGAATTTCTTCAGATTCTCATTTTCGCTCTCGGCGTCTGCGGTCTTGGAGTCGACTCGCTTCGTGCCACGGATCTGTTGTACGGCACTGTCGATCAACTTGACATTAGGGATGTTGGCGTCTGCTAGAGCGCGCTGGACTTGTGAGTCTTGAGCGCAGGCGGTGATGAGGTGGTCAATGGCGACATAGCTATCCTTCTGGGTCTTGGACAAGTCGCTAGCAGAACGGAGGACCTTGGCCAGTGCGGGCGAGACGCTGACGGACTCTGGAGGTGGGTCTTGGCTGGGCAGGCGCACCAGAAGCTTCATAAGGGAGCGTTCGAGAAGCTGGGGATCGCCATGGGCGCGTTCGATGACTTGACGGAAGAGAGGGGCGGAGGCAGTTTCGTGGGACGGATGGGCGGTAGCTTGTTGGTCTTTGGACTCATCTGGAGAGGGATTCAGGAGGGAGACTGCAAGATGAATGGGAAGAATCTGTGAGTGTGAATATTGTTCAGCCAGGCTGCTGGAGTCCAGCAGGGCCTTGTTGGCCTTGTCTGTAAACTGAGCACCGTTCATGGTGTGAAAGTGGGGTTGTGATGTGCGGGAAAAGAGGTATCAGGTCGTAGTGATAGTAGGTGAGAGTATACCGAGGTAGAAGGTGTGAGGTATAACGAGGAGGAATGTCTCGTGTTAGAGAGAATATTAGCGATAGGCAGGTATTAGTGGTAGTGTGTAAGATGAAAGTGAAAGACACGATGGAGAGTCGGCACGGAAGGTGAAGATATAGAAGCTGGTCAGGCATCGCCGGCTTCCCGCCATGACGACACGGCCCGCTTCCACCGCCTTCCAGAAACACCGCGGCTTTGCTCGCTCTTGCTGGACGTCACGTGCAGGCTCTGGAAGGTCCTGGATTCCCAGCCTGGCCCATCAGGCCATCAGGCCATCAAGACACGAGGACATCAGGACATCAGGTGATCTGGACCCTGATTTAGTGATGGCAATGACAAAGACCAACGGAGTCATCTTCCCTCTCCGGATACTTCTCCTTGTCTCTATTTTTGTTCTCTTAGGTTCGAATCTGATAGGACCTATTCTCGACTTGTCTCTTGCTTTTCTCCACTGCACTCTGCCAAGTTTCAACCCCACCAGCATCATGAGCCGTCTGTCGCACGAGACAGTAGTAACGCCCCCCACGTTGGAGAGCAATCATCGTGATTGGCATGCCTTGCTGGTCTGGCCGGGATTAAACTACATTAGAGTTACTAAGTCAAGCCGGACACATCATTGACTACCAACTTCAAAGAATGCTATGCGTACTGCCGAGGTTAGTCCGAAAGTACAGGACATATACCATGAAAAGAGAAAAGAATTTTCGGAGTCTATGCGAGCGAAGACAGCTAGCAAGGCGACCCATCAGCAGCAACAGCAACAATGTCTGCATTTTCCCAAGGTTGCGCCAGATTATCCACCTCTTTCACTCTTGTGTGGAGTCTCACGACAAGAATTCCCGTACTCTGTACTCTACAAGATATTGGGATTGATTCTGACAAATATTTGTGAAAGGGCGAAAGAAAAAAAAAGTACCCACAGGCACAGACACATCTCGCGGGGCATTGAGACCCTCCCCTAATTGTCCAACTTTTCCCTTTCTCGACTCTCTTCTCTTTGGCTCTTCCTCGAGACTGCAAATTTCCCCCCTCCCCCCGCTTCTGCTATGGAGAAGACAGCCATGGAAAGGACCGTTTCCAGGCCTTAGCCCGTGACGTCAAAGAGTGGGCATCTCCGCCTCTCCTCCACCTTGTGCCCACTGGACCGCCACAGGCATTGGCCGCTGAGGAGTCTCCCTCTGGCTACGATGCCCAACAGGGAATGACCAACCGTGCGCCAGGAACGGGGAACCTCCGCGATCGGGCGGGCTGGGCATGATCCATGACCAGCGCGCCTTTGTGGCTCAACCCAGTCTTCAAGCGAGCGCCGCCAGGCGAATTGAATCCAGGGCAGATAAGCCGTAGAGTCAATACAGATTTGGGGGAGGGGGGAAGGAAATCGTTTCTCTCTGAATGCATGCGGGATTACTATTGACTTTATGCCTTGCATTATTCATTATCGCTATCACCACGAATTCCTCCCCTCGACGTCTCTGCGGGATTAACCGAAAAGCACTCACTTGAACTGCCAGGCAAATTTCAACCGCTAAGCATGCATTGAGCTATCTTACTAGAAGTACGCCAAAAGGGATTGGATGAAGAAAGACATACATTACTCGCTGAACTAAATGGTTCGGTCTTTGTTGAAATGGAATGATGGAGCAACTGGAGCAACTGGATATACCTAAGTCTTACTAACCTACTAATTAAAATAACTAGCACAGGAAACAAAGTGGATTAGAATAGGCTCGTAGTACGAGTCCGCCGCCGGCCAGCTCTATCGGGGTACGATCCACGGGTCAATCTGCCCGGTTTCACTCGAATTTCCTCTCGTTCCTCGTTCGCTGGTGGAAAACCTCCAGTAAATTTTCGTAAGCCTAAACAGCAGTAGTACCTGTTGCTCTCGCCTCTTGAATGGCTTGATTTAGTTAATTGATTGGAGTCGGATAATAAATTTGTTGTTGACTGACACATCCACAGCCAGTATAAAGCCTGCCAGCCCTCATTCTGCCTTCCCCTCCTCCTCCCTTCTTTCCTCTCTTTCAATCAACTTGCAGCCTGGAAGGAACCCTCCCAACTGTGCCTGCAAAACTGCTTGAATAGGTTCGTCCAAGCATACACTACACTATTCTACCCACCTCGAAATCCAGTAAACCGGACGAGGAAAAAGGGTGCTTCGTCCAATAATCCCCGAGTATCTACGCCAGTGGTGAAACTCCCTGGTCGATAGATTTTGTACTTGAATTTGCAGTGAGGAAATCTGAAAAACCGATTTCCCAGCGATCGAACAGATCAGCAGTCCAAACAGGATTACCGTGTTATCATTCGACCATCGACCGGAAGAATACTCCGTCACGATGTCGCAGAAGCCCATCTTTGTGGCTACTCACCCCCGGGCGTGTTCCACGGCCTTTGAGCGAGTATGTTGTTCCCTGCAACTTCTCCCACCCCACCTCATCTCCTGGGTTGTAACATCTTGTTGATCTCGTTTGCATCAGGTCTTCATGACTCAGCGGGATACCATCCAGTGTGTCCACGAGCCGTTTGGTGATGCCTTCTACTATGGACCTGAGCGGTTGTCGACCAGATTCGCCGACGATGAACAGGCCCGTCTGGACAGCGGATTCAGCCAGTCGACGTTCAAGACCGTCCTGGATCGCATCGAGCGCGAATCATCTGAGGTCCGACCCTTTTTTTCTTGCCTGTTTTGTCTTCTTCACCACTTCTCTTTCCGTTGTCCCTAGCACTTTGTTCCCTCCCCTTCGGCTATCGTAGTTTGAGATCGTCGACGAATCCATTCGGATGAGGGCTCGGTCTGCCAAATCAGAGAAATCCGGGGAAAACGCAGGAGCAAGATTCTGCTTTCCGTCGTGATGCATCTACAAGCATGATTCTTCCGTGCCTGCATGTGGATCACCTGCGAGTGTCTTGTTTCGTTTCCCCTACACGCCCAGGGAGATAACCCACAGGATCAAGAGGATGGACTGGCGAGCATGCATCAGCCCAGCCTGTTCTTCCTGCCCTAATGTCTTCTCCCTCCCCCGGCCTACCACCATGTGACCCGACACATCCACACGTTCACAGTTCCACAAACCTAGCAAGATACTTACCCCCAGAAAACAGGGCAAACGCGTCTTCATCAAGGACATAATCCACTACCTCCTCCCGCCGCACGGCCAACCCGCCAGCATCGCGCCATCCCTGCACAGGATCAAGCGCGGTGTAGGCACAGAGCAGCCGGAGGAGCCGAAGGCAACGCCGTACCCGTATGCGACGGAGGCTGAACCCGGCAACCCGACCGTGATGCCGCGGGCGCTCCTGTCGCAGTTCCACTTTGCCTTCCTCATCCGCGACCCGCATTATAGTGTGCCCTCGTACTACCGCTGCACGATCCCGCCGCTGGACGCGGTGACCGGGTTCCAGAACTATGACCCCGCCGAGGCCGGGTACGACGAGCTCCGACGGACGTTCGACTATCTTCGTGACACGCGTCTGGTCGGCCCGCGGGTCGCCACGCACGAGCATGACGAGACGGAGCAGGACTCCTCGTCGGCCGCCTCCTCGCGCCCGTCGTCCTCGGCTTCCTCCGCCAGCATGACCGGACGGAGCAGCGGTGGCAGGGAGGAGGAGGTGGAGATTTGCGTCGTCGACGCGGACGATATGCTCGACAACCCGGCCCCGATGATCGAGACCTTCTGCCGTAGCGTGGGCTTTAAGTACGATCCCTCGATGCTGTGCTGGGATACTGAGGCCGATCACGCGTGCGCGCGGGCCGCGTTCGAGAAGTGGAGGGGTTTCCATAACGATGCTATTGAGTCGACGGGCTTGGTGGGTAGGAAACATGTTAGTATTCTCCCTTTCCTTCAGTTCATTGCCTCTCTCCCACGTCACGTCACAAAATAAAGAAAGAAAGAGATCCAGAGAGCCGGAGGACGACAAGTCACAAGAACACTCACCACCTACCTCTCTCCTCTCTCTCTTTCCTCTCACATACACTCAAGCCCATTCAGCCGGTGAAACTGGACTCCTCAAAACTAACACCACAAATTCAGCCCCGAGCCCAGAAGACCGAGGCCCAATTCGACGCTGAATGGCAGGAAAAGTACGGGCCCGAAGGCGCTGCCCTCATCCGCAAGACCGTGGATGCCAACATGGCGGATTATCTGTACTTGAAGAAATTCGCCATGAAGGTTTAGGAAAGACCTTTCCGAACTTACCTCAATCCATGATGTTGGGTGAACACGAGGGTCTTGGAGGGGAGTACAGTTTGTATGAACGAAAAGAGAAGAAAGGAAAAGAAAACCAGCGGTGTGGAAAATGCAAGAGCAAACCAGCTGAACGGGGAATAAGGAGGGGAGAGTTGGACGAATTATTATGATCCATCTGTTCTCTTCAGAATCCCTTGTTTCAATTGTGTGATCATTTCCCGCCTTGATTGATGAACATTGACGATATCTTAGCTTTGATGACGCGATTTGGATGTGCATACGATCTGCATAAGTATGCATACTATACTATGTCATGTTTGTATGTCGATGGATGATGATCTTGTGCTTGTGTTTGATTTGTTTGATTTGTTTGTTTTTGGAGATCAATAGCAATTTGTCAGTCATGATTGTGAAAGGGTCTGGGAAATTGTTACCATCACTTTGAAGATTTCGAAGCTTGACTATCTTTTTGTGGAGGATTCTGAGAAGGGAAATTGATATCCATTCATTCTTGTGGTAGTCAGTGGTGATTATTGTGAGTTATGATCTATCCGTATGCTAGTAGTCGGCGTGTTCCAGTTGAGAGTCTGCACATCGACAGCCTCCCTGTGCTCCTTCTGCTCGCCAGCTACCACTTCCCCCCCTCCCCTCCCCAAAGTATCCAAGGAGCATGCATATACATCCATCATTATGATCAATTGTGTCGTGTATCAGAGCAATAAAGCTAGCCATTTGTATCATATTCAAAAGTTTCCAATTCGCCATAACTACCACTCCACCACACAAGGGCAATCCCTGCCTAGGTATGGAAGTACCCCTGGAATCCGTCCGTATGCCGGCTACTCAGCCATAACTCACGCTTTCTCGCACCCCACCTCCCAACATCCTTCAATAGAAAAACGTACAGAAATAGACAACCTTCTAAACCGCACTGTAGCCGCCTCGCGACCCCGACCCTTGCAACGTGTTGACCACCCGACGGACCCAATCCTGGAAGATGTAGGGGACATCGCGCATCGTGTCCCCGTGCGGGAGAAGATCCCACCCACGGGCACCGTAGCGGTTATAATTGAGCCAGGAACCGAAGATCAAGTAGGCAGCGATACACATGAAGAGACTGTGTTACCCGGGGATTACTTGATTAGCGTTTCACCTCTCCACGACAGCGTATTAAAGGAACAAGTAGAGAAGGGGACGGAAACGGGCAGACATACAGAATAATCAACCAGGTGAAGAATCCCCAATGACTCGACGAGTCCCCCTTGTTATCATCCCGGTACTTGTCGCACGCGTACCGTGTCGCCCAGTCCAGCCGCAGCACGTAGGTGTCGTCATCGACGGGACCGAAGCTTTTGAATTGAAGACTGCTGGTACTATTTCTGTTGCCGCTACCCTCTTCCTCCCGAGCGCGCAACACAGCCTCACTACCGACCGGCTCGTTCGTGGTCCGGAGACCTTCCAACCCCGACCGGTCGGGGTCGCAATTGAACTCGATCACGGCTTTGGCAGTGTGCTTCTTGCCAGTCGTGTCCTCATAGCTGCCGCCGGCAAACTTGATCAAGAGACCTTCACGGGAGGAGTCGGATTCCTTCAAGCGAGTGACCTCGGTGTCTTTGCTGCCGGATCCGAGGTGGTCGTAGCCCGCGATGGGGAAGCCCTGGTCTATTTCGACGCTGCTGTTCGCGTGGCGTCGGTATTCAAAGCCGCAGACTATATATAATCGAGAGGTTAGCGCATGGGAAGATGCGACGCAAGAAAAGAGGATAGGTTCGCGGGCAATTTGGCAAGGGGAAAAGCGCACTGTTTTTGGACGTTCCACACTTCAGGTGCTCTCGGTTGGCAGCCTTCCCCAGGATACTGCAGATGTTGAGCACATATGTCGTGTTGATTGTCGCGGATTCCTCGGGCTCCTCGACCACGTTGTAGAGGGTGTGTACGCCGCCGAGAGGGCTGAGGTCATATTTGATTTTATCAACGATTATGTCTTTGCAGTTGAAATTGCCCAAGGCAGAGACCAGACTGGGGAGGAACAGGGCGGAGGAGAGAAGGGTAGAGGATAGGTTGGACGGTATTCGCATTGTGGATGTTGTTGATTGTGGTGCTGACGGGGCCGGGTTTGGCTGAAGAGGGTGATTGCGTTGGTCACCGGAGCTCAGCTCGACAGTTTCGCAAGTAGGCAACGTGAAAATTCTCAGGAAGCAGCGACGAAGTCAATAAGGTATATTCCTCGTGGGAGTCAAGTGAGGTGGTGAACTGGAGAAGGCGTATTCACCAAATAAACAGGCGAGAAGGCAGGCTGGGAATTGATTCGATCAGTTGTCGGCGATGATGCGGTGGCCGGAGCTCTTCGTTTCTCCGAGGCGAGGGCGGGCCGAGAGGGAAGTCGACCAAGTCCGCATGCAGACGTCCACAATGTAATTCTTGCAATGAGGCAGAGAGAGACGAAGAGAGAGCTTCGAAGAATTGGAACTAATAGCGAGGAAGGAAGGAGACAGTGAGAGAGAACGCAACTCGTGTGCTTGAGGAAGGCTTGTATTGGCACTTCGTCTGGCGAGCAGCTGACGGCAATGATGTCACCCGACCCAGGTGCGCGCATGTGCAGAATGTGAAAGGAGACTGAAGGTTCATCCAGCAGAGATACGAGGGAATTGAAAAGTAGTGTGCCTAGAACAACTCAGATGCACCGAAGAGTCACCTTAGCATTCAGTGAAGATGAAGTATAGAAGGTTAGCAAGTTAGCAAGCATACAAGGAAGGAACCGAGAGCTTAGCCACTGGCAAGAAAGCACAGGAGCATGAAGGAGAATGCTAGACTAGGTAGACAAAGAGACACAATAGACTACTATCAATAGCATTCAAGGTTATTTAACACTTGACCTACAAAGTCTAGTAATTTACTTAAGACTTAAGGTGTAGAAAGTACTCTGTCCGTCCGTATTGTAGTTAGGTTATCCAAGTCACTCTGTGCACGGGCCACATCAGCCCAAAGAAGAAACCTCCCCAGCATCAAATCCCCATCCCAATATTAATCAATCAATCAATCAATCATCCTCTCTACCCCTCGAAACTCGCACCCGTCTATTCCAAAATGATTCAAACTCGTATGGTAAGCACACTTCTCCTCACTTCGATAGATCTACCAAAATTACTCCCCCATTCAATTCACCAACAAACAAACAAAAAAAAAACTAATTCCCCCCGCCCACCAGCTCTCAAAAGAAGATGAAGCCCGCGGCGAAGATAACGAAGTCCGCCGCGAGGACCAAGAAAAGATCAACCGCTTCAGTCGCCTCCACCAACGGGAAATTGTGTTGGAAGAGCAATTGAAACTGAAGCAGGTAAGCTCAGCAGCCCTTTATTTTTGAATTTCAGTCTTTCATTCTCCACTACTTTTCTTTCCCCAAAAATTCACCCCGCCAACGTCGTCACTACGTAACCTCCACCTGTACAGTTAGCAGTATAAACTAATATGAGAATTCAAAAACAGAAAGACAAGGAAGATCTGGAAGAAATCTCCACAGAGCTCGAACTCGCAGATGAAGATGATCTCGTTCCGTAAGTGGTTACCCCCCTCCCCCCTCCCCCCTCCCCCCTTCCCCCTCATCCTTCATCTCCAAATTCCGATGCCCCTTATGATCCGCTGACATCCCAAATGCAGTTACAAGATCGGCGACTCCTTCTTCCACCTTCCCCTGGAAGAAGCCCAGTCCCTCCTCGCCACCTCCACCGAGCAAATCGACGCCGAGGTGAGCAAGCTGGAGGAAAACCTGGGCGACCTGCGCGAGGAGCTGCAGCAACTCAAAGTCGCCCTGTATGCGCGCTTCGGCCGGAGTATCAACCTAGAAACCTAAGTTTCCCTGCCTTCTCAGGTTGAGTTCTTGTACCTAACCCACCTTTGGTTCGCTTGTCATCCTACTTTTTTCTTTTCTTGCCTTGCTTTATTCAATGAAGACTACTTTTCGGATGCGGGGAGAAATATCACATTGCTAGTACTGCAAATGGTGGGGGCGTTGGGTTTGGTAGCGAAGATGGTAATGTTGCTGTGGTTCAAGAGATTGGACAATGAACGGAGTTGACTTAGGACATGTCTCATCAAGTTTGAATTCAAGAACGGTGTCGGGATAGTGTCATCTATAAAGAAAATCAATCGCCTATGTGTGTACACATACTCTGTACAAAAGGGTTCTGTCCAACCAACAAGAGGGATATCTACGCGAAAAATATACTTTAAAATATAGTAGTGGATCATGGAGAAAGGAAAGAAAAGGAGAAAGAAAAGCTGTTTCGTGATCCATAACTTCATCTCACATGCTTCAATAGGAGAGACGTGAAAAGAGCTCCCACGGGCAAGATATTATGACATGGCGTTAGTACAGTAAAATCCCGTTCGCTCGATTGCTCGGATGGGATATGTCTGCCTCGGGCATGATATTTCGGCTGTGGTGCGACCGAAACGAGCTCATTCTGAGAGACTGGACCTGCCTGGTAGACCTGCCTGGTAAAAGAGCCAGATGACAACGAACCCCACCGAGTGCCGTGCACAACCATTTTATGCGTTACCCCTTAAATGATACTGGCGATCGTCATGCGCGAATGAGATGAGCTTGACTGGGGTGTGGTTGCATCAGAGCTGGTGGCTGCTGCGTCAGGTCCCAAGTAAGACGATTCCGCTGGCTTAAGATGATGATGATGATGATGATGATGGTGTTGTTGTTGTTGTTGTTGTTGTTGTTGTTGTTGGTGGTGGTGGTGGTGGTGGTGTTCTTGTTGTTCTTGTTGTTGCTGTTGTTGTTGCTGCTGCTGCTGTATCTCACTCAAATACCGTACGCTCTGCTCAACCCAAGCCCAACCCTCCCAATTCTCCGTAATCTCCATCTCGGGACGCGGATATGTGGTGGGACTGTTGAGTTGGGGGGACATCGTTTCGAGTTGAGAACCTGTTGCGCTTCCTTGCCATACCCAGCTGCTTTCAATCGTTCCTTGCATGTCTCCAGAAACATACGCAATCAGCTCTTCGTCAAGTTCAGATATAATGGTCTCGCTGCGTTGAAGTAGCGCCTTCAAGAAAAATGCCAAGTATTGTCCGCAGGCAGCATTCACTGCGCGTGAGTCCCCAATCGCCGCACTGGCTTGTACGCAGACTAATGCGGCGGCATATTCCTGGCGAAAAAGAAGCAGCAGCACGCAACGCCAGAGATGTACGCATAGCATAGCGCCAGCTGATGAAGCGAGTAGTGGTCGCCATTCCTCGCCGCTGCCTGTCGGGTGTCCATGACGCGGGCTGGCGGGCGGAGGTCGCATACAGCGCGAGAGAAGACGGGCAGTATCCTGGGCGGTCGACACACAAAACTCCAGCGCCGACGTTCGGGCCTCGCGACTGCAGCATGGGGACATATTGTGTCGATGAAGAAGGAGTCGCGCGTTCTGCAGATAGATTATGGGTGCAAGAGAACGGGGGTCAAGGTATTGCTCGGACCGCGGCAGATACTGCGAGGGAAATGTAGCCAAGCAGGCATTGAAGTGTCGCTCGAAAGTTTCCAAAGTGGCCGGACTGATGGTTGGGCTCTTCAGTGTTCGAGACAGCTGTCCGATCGAGCGGACGACATGGATGCTTGCAAGAAGGGAACTTGTTTGCGGGCTCTCCGGCACACCACCTTCTTCTGAGATATACTGTTCATCAACGGGACATGGCAGGTCGACATCGCAGTCCTGATCATTGATCAGTACTGGTTTACCCATCTCTAAAGCAAGAAGCCTGGGAATGAATTAGTCTCGGACCTTCGACGACAAGTCCTAGCGATCGGATGATTCTTACCGGTCCCAGGTGTACATCCCCCACCATACTCGTTTGCGCATCTCGCCCTCTACAGGTGACCAGGGCCCGGATTCCAAGTGCAACCCAATCTCTTGCGCCACTCTCACAGCAGACCCAATCCACACCCAGCTGGCCGACCGGGAATTTGCTTCGTAAAGGAAGATACTGGCCAACAGCGCCGCTCGGGCCTGGTCTAGAGTGAAGTTATCCTGCCATACATCAATGACACCGCAACAGATCTTCACAAACTCCTTGCCTTCCTGTTCCCGGTTTTGTTCTAGGGTGTGTAGAGACCCGCACGCGAAGACACCGAATAGGACCGCCGCCCATTCCCGAGGGATACCCAGTAACGAGCCTGCTTGGTAGACCTTCTCGTACTCCGCCACGAAGGTAGGCCAGTGAATGACGGGAAGAATGGAGTGGATGCAAGAATAATATTGCCCCAGCAAGCGATTAGCCACATCTTTTGGTGGAAGTGGTGGGGGATCCGTCGTGAGCAAGGATTTAGGTCCCCGCTGTCGATAAGGTGGCGGAACCTTTAGAATTCCTCGACCGTACTTGCGCAGGTTGATCCGTGCCTGGGTCAGATCATGCACGAAGGGCGCCTTGGGTCGGCGCGGGGGACGATACCCGATATCCGGTAGCTTCAGCTGCGGTTGGCCCGTTGCATCAATGTCGAGATCCATCAGATTGTCCGACCTTAGCATCCCCGATCGTAGTTGCTGGAGTTGCTGCTTGGTTGACAGCAGCTGCTTTTCCAGGTCTTGAACTTGTCTACCAGGCAGTTAGCATGTGTGGTCACAAAGGGAACGGTAACACAAACTTAATAGACGACATGCGTCTGTTGGTCTCCTTGGTGAATTGGCAGCGCACCTTGCGGTTGGTGCATTCTGTGCAACTGGACGACTCGGAGGCGTCGCACTGGGCGGAAGGTCAATGCGAGGCCAAAGTAACAGGGCTGCGGCGTAACCATACCTTGACCTTGCGCTCCCGACAGGCATCGCAACTGGGATCCTTCCTCCGCTGCCGATACGCCCTCTTCTGTTGCAGAGGCTGCTGCGATTGCTGATGATGCGGATGCGGTCCAGCCGCCACACCACCCACCGGCTGTAGCATTCCCGATCCCGGCCCGGAGAGTGTTGGCGCATCCGCGAGGAGAGATGCGCCCTCCGCGGGCGAGCCGCTGGACTCATAGGAACGCGAGTAGGGCGGAAGAGAGGTTGCGGTGGTTGACGATTGAGGGGTTGGCATTTGCTGGGCCAAGGGTTGCAAAAGATGGGACATCCGCAGACCGCTGTCGGGTCGACTGGGCGGTGCGGAAAGCAGCGAAGCAGCACCAGCGGCGGGTGGTGGTTGTGGTGGGCCGCCGGGCGGTTGAAGAAGAGGCGCTGGCGGCGAAGTCACCGCGTGCACGGGGGGAAGCTCATACGACCCTCCCGGCTGGTTCGGGCTAGTTGACGAGCGAAAATAATGCGCCTGCATGCCGACACCTGCAATGCAACCTCATAAGGCGAAGGTGATGAAGGTGGAAGCAGTTTGCGCGTGCGCGCCGGGAAGGTAATCGAATCCGTCCGCTGGTTAGATAGGAAGAAGCAAAAGAGGATGAGGAAGAGGCGGATGATAATAATGATGATGATGATGATGATGATGCGAGGCCAGACAACAAGGATTGATGGCGAGCCCCCAACACTGTTCTTTTTTTTCCCTTCCCTTTCTTCCTTCACCCTTCACAGATAGATAGATGCAAATCAGAAGGCGATTAACGTAGATAGTGGGGGGGGGGAATAAAAAGCGACAAGGAACTCTGACAATCAACCAGATCCCGAAAAGAGCGCAGATTCCCGAAATTCCCACCCAGGTTTTGCAGTAGGATAGAGTGGAAGAGGAAGGAGGGGGGGATGGAAGGAGAGGGGCGGTTATCCGCAATGGCGACGAAGGTAAAATAAAATAGCTGTATCGATCGCACCAATGATCAATTTGGGTCAAAGATTCAATGTTCCAGAGACAGAAATAAAGTTGGAGCGATGGTCAACCGTGGAGTCATCTAGTCTAGACGCGGTAGTCTTGCGGTAGTTCCTGGTGCGGACAGATGGATGTGTTGGAGTGCAAGTGGGTGCTGGTGAAGCCATACAAGAATACTACCGAGGCTGAGAGGGGCTGCCAGAACAAGAGCCGCCCAAGAAATACTTTGCTGTGGGTTTCACCAAGGAAGGAATACTTCGTTGTACGGGTGGTGGTCGCGTTGCGAAGTTCGACTGGACCAAGTTGTCGTGCGCATAAACAAGCATTGACAAGAATGAAGGGGTTTGAGACTGCTGTGAACACGATTCGTAGAGGAGAGGCTGGAGAAGAGGTGGCCACCTTAGAGAGGGGAAGGGAAATTTGAGGGAAGGAAAAAGGCAAGAAGGGACGGAGGGAGAAAAAAAGAGAGAGTAGAAGAAGGCGAATTGCGGCAGAAAAGACGACGGGGCAAAAAGAAGAATGAAGAGGAGGAAAGGATATAGAGTGAATAATGAGTGGTGACGGGCTTCGGCAGTCATGGGCAGGAATGGACGATAAGCCCGTCGTCCGTCATACTACTACTAAGTGACAACCTACTTGCCTACTACCTACTGTTACCTACCAACCTACCTAGTTAGCGAGCTTGAAAAAAAAAAAAACAACTACTACTACTCGCTATAAGCACAATCTTCCTATTGTGGAGTAAAAAAAGGAAGAAAGAAAGAAAAAGAAAGAGAGATCAAATAGATAAATTGATTCAAGAAGAAAAAAACTGAGAAAATTCTCTGTGTCAGGGATTCTGATCTGGTGTGGTTAAATATCTTATTAACAGATTCCTCTAATTTTTCTCGAACCCTAGTTCGTCTCTATATTGACTCCGGCAATGATCAAGTGGAAACAAATCCCCTCTAAGATTTAGTAGCAGCGGGAGCGGCAGCGGCACCAGCAGCAGCAACAACAACAACAACAACACTACAACACTACAACACTACAACACTACAACACTACAACACTGCTCAACGGCGACAGCAGTTG